ACTTTACTAGTGTGTGAGATGAGTGCAACTGTGTGGTAGTTTGAGCATTCATTGGCATTCTTTCTTTGGGATTGGAATGAAAACTAACTTTTTCCAGTCCTGTGGCCACTGCTGAGTTTTCCAAATTTGCTGACATATTGAGTACAGCACTTTCACAGCATCATCTTTTAGGATTTGAAACGGCTCAGCTGGAATTCCATCGCTTCCACTAGGTTTGTTCGTAGTAATGCTTCCTGAGGCCCGCCTGACTTCACATTCCAGGATGTCTGGCTCTGTGTGAGTGTGAGTGATCACACCTTCATGACTATCTGGGTTGTGAAGATTTTTTTGTACAGTTCTGTGTATTCGTTCCACCTCTTCTTAATATCTTCTGCTTCTGTTAGGTCCATACCATTTCTGTCCTTTATTGATCCCATCTTTGCATGAAATGTTCCCTTGATATCTCTAATTTTTCAAAGACACCTCTAGTCTTTTCCATTCTGTTGTTTTCCTCTGTTTGTTTGCACTGATCACTGAGGAAGGCTTTCTTATGTCTCCTTGCTATGCTTTGGAACTCTGCATTCAAATGGGTATATCTTTCCTTTTCTCCTTTGCTTTTCACTTCTGTTCATTTCACAGCTATTTGTAAGGCCTCCTCAGACAGCCATTTTGCTTTTTTGCATTTCTTTTTCTTAGGGATGTTCTTGATCCATGTCTCCTGTTCAACATCCAGAACCTCCATCCATAGTTTATCAGACTATCTGTCTCTCAGTTCTAGGCCCTTAAATCTATTTCTCACTTCTACTGTATAGTCATAAGGGATTTGATTTAGGTCATACCTGATTGGTCTAATGGTTTTCCCTACTTTCTTCAATTTCAGTCTGAATTTGGCAATAAGCAGTTCATGATCTGATCCACAGTCTGCTCCCGGTCTTGTTTTTGCTGACTGTATAGACCTTCTCCATCTTTGGCTGTAAAGATATAATCAATCTGATTTCATTGTTGACCATCTGGTGGTGTCCATGTGTAGAGTCTTTTCTTGTGTTGTTGGAAGAGGGTGTTTGCTATGACCAGTGCGTTCTCTTAGCAGAACTGTGTTAGCCTTTGCCCTGCTTCATTCTGTACCCCAAGGCCAAATTTGCCTGTTACTCCAGGTGTTTCTTGGCTTCCTACTTTTGCATTCCAGAAGGGTTCAGATAGAAAAGAGAAACATTTCAATTTGTGTATAAAATATAATTTTACCAAATTACTGTCATAATTAGTTTCAGGGGAAGGTTTTTGTTTCCTTACACCTGGAAAACACATATTCAAACAAGTAATTTTTCAGATAGAAACCATAAAAGTTATAAGCATATTCATCAGTCCTTCTGTTAAGCTTTGTGAAGTCATCAGGTTTTTCATTAGAATCCTTACCCAGTTTATGCGAGAAGCCGGCCTGACGGCTCAGGCTCCTTCTTGGCCCTGAGAGAGATCAAGAGGTCCCTCTCTGTCCCGCCACCCCTGATTTATTAAAGTGCAGGTTGGCCTTTCTTAACCTCCCTCAAGGAAATTGCTGCAGCGACCTTTTACCCATTTTCCTGACTCTGACGAGATTGTCAGGCTCCTGTGTATGGTTTGTGTCTGGGTAATCTTTAACTGATTGTAATCATACTAAGATGCCAGTACCATGCTCTGCTAGTCTTAAAGAGTTGAGATAAAATTCCTGAGCGAAATCTAATGTCTGCGATTCTGCACGTATGCATGTCTTTGATCTAAATTTAGTGAGTCCTGTTAGCATATATATGTATGTTACCCCTCAATAAAGTTGTCGGTTGTCGGTTTCAGTCAAGAGCTGACTCCGTTCCTCTCAACCCCATCTTTCTGAGTCTTTATTTCTTAGGTATTTTGGCGATTGCGTCCATGACTGGTTCGTTTGCCGGCAGGCTCCGGCAAGTTTAGAAACTGGTATTTATCCAAAAGTCCTTTCTATAAATCTTCTTGAAGAGAAAGTATTTTTGCAAAACTTGATTAGTGCTATCACAATATTTTGAGATAGTAATTAGAATTATGCCCGATAACATTTTAGCCAAACATACCAGAATTTTACGAACGCCATGTAGTTTCTATTATATCTGTATTAGTAACATTTACCATACAGTATAACCTAAGACTTATTACTCACTTGACAATATTTCCCATATCATTCTGTATAGAAAATGAGCCTAATTAATGTAATATGTCTCCTTGGGGTATTTCAGGGGCCCTCTGAAGCATCCCAAAGGTAGCTAGAAATAAAGTTCTTCATTAAATGACTTAGGAAGTTTTGTCAGCAAGTATCAAAAAGGTTTAGAACACTCAGTCAGATAGGATTATAGGTCATTGTGAAACAGTCCTTCTTCATATAGCCAAAGTAACAATAAAAGATTTCAGAACAAATCATTTAAGAGATAAAGAAACTTAAATCTGTTATCAAAGGCAGTTCACCATCTGAAAGAAAGGTGTCATCTTAACAGACAGAAAAGCTAAATTCAAGTTTTGCAACAGACAGAAAAGTGAAAATCAAAGCTAAATAAGTTTTACTTTATTAAAAGGCAAACTTAATTAAATTTATTTTACACTTATTTTAAACCATGTACAAAACTCACTTCTCATGGCTCATGTTTCACAAACCTTATCACTTTCTGTACCCATTACTTTGTTCTTCCATCCTGAAAAGCCACCTGTAAGTCAGGCTTACTTCCTTTTCCCCTCACAAAATGCAATTCTATTCCCCATACCTTCTTTACCGAAAACACACTTTCTACTTTCCTGAAGCAACCAAGAATTGACTTTTTTTTTTTTTTGACAAGTTGGTCCATTTTTAATACTGAATCAAAAGAAGCTGTTTTTGGCCTCCCAAAATGCCCGTCCCTTTTTACTGAGATTAACATATTTCAGAATGTTAAGTAAACAGTTGCTGTAACTGGGTAAAGTTTCCCCAGGTCCATCCTCCAGGAACTGCCGGCATTATCGGCAGTGCCACCCAGTCTTCAAGGGGGATATCAGCCTGGATCTGCTCTGTAATTATTGCAGAGCTCCAATTTGCTTTAGCCGTGTCAACAGTTTCCCTCTCTCATGCATATTTACTAGATCAGTGGATCCAGCTATGCACTCTTTACCGATGAAGACCCGAGGTACCGTTCTGGCTCCTGTGAGCTGTTGCAAGTAATCTTGAATCTCATTGGTGTCCCGTTGACTGTGATATTGACAAATTCCAAACACCCTTGTTTGAAGGGCAGTTGGCTGGGGAGCTCCTGAGTCCCTCTGCTGTAGGGGCAGGTGGGCTTGATGAACACGACCACCTTCCCAGACTGGGTGTTGCTGTTCACGAATGCTTGAGCCATGCTGCCTCCCCCGGGAGGACACCTTGACTGCCAAGAACTGACTTTTATATTAACATTTTTTAGATTGGTGAACATAGATACCAGTGGTGATTTCTAAAACCTTTGCGTTCTTAGAACATTTTAGGATGGCACGAAACAAAATGAGGGCAAAATGAGGACTGTAGCCCAGGAGGCAGCATCTCAGATAGCTCTGAGAGACTGCTTCAAAGCGGCAGTGGGGAAGGTAAATATAGAAGGTTTTGGTGAATGGGAAGTTCAGCACCATGAAGCAATTATTTTGTAAAAGGTGTTTTGTTAGTCATGAGGATATGATGTCACCATGAAGGGATTTAGTGCTTCTCTAGATAGGAGGAGGTACAACGATTGAGACCATAAAATCTGTTCCTAAAAACATTTAAAAAAAACCCCAACTATCCTAAAGACCTGTCTCACCAGATTCCCTGGAGCACAGAGTGCCTCACTCCACAGTTTTTGAAGGTCAGCAGCTATAGCAGCATGGGGTTCAATCTCTGTAGAGGCAGATGGCAAATGCCTTTGTTGCTCAGTCACTGGCATTGCTCTTGGTAAATGCCACTTGTAGCTGACAGGTGTTTGCTATGACCAGTGTGTTCTCTTAACAAAATGTTAGCTTTGCCCTGCTTCATGCTGTACTCCAAGGCCAAACTTGCCTGTTACTCCACGTATCTCTTGACTTCCTACTTTGGCATTGCAGTCCCCTATGATGAAAAGGACATCTTTTTTTGGTGTTAGTTCTCTGAAATCTGTAGGTCTTCATAGAACTGTTCAACTTCAGCTTCTTTGGCATTAGTGGTTGGGGCATAGACTTGGATTACTGTGATACTGAATGGTTTGCCTTGGAAACGAACAGAGATCATTCTGTCGTTTTTGAGATTGCATCCAAGTAGTGCATTTTAGACTCCTTTGTTGACTATGATAGCTACTCCATTTCTTCTAAGGAATTCTTGCCCACAGTGGTAAATATGATGGTCATCTGAATTAAATTCACCCATTGTGGTCCATTTTAGGTCACTGATTCCTAGAAAGTTGATGTTCACTCTTGCCATCTCCTGTTTGACCATTTCCAATTTACCTTGATTCATGGACCTAGCATTCCAGGTTCCTACACAATACTGTTCTTTACAGCATCGGACTTTACTTCCACCACCAGAGACATTCATAAATGTGCGTTGTTTTTGCTTTGGCTCGGCCTCTTCACACCTTTGGAGCCATTTCTCTGCTCTCCTCCAGTAGCACACTGGGCATCTACCAACTTGGGGAGTTCAGCTTTCAGTGTCATATCTTTTTGCCTTTTCATAGTGTTGATGCTAGCAAAGTAATGCTCAAAATTCTCCAGGCTAGGCTTCAACAGTACATGAACCAAGAACTTCCAGACATTCAAGCTGGATTTAGAAAAGGCAGAGGAGCCAGAGATCAAATTGCTAACATCCAAAAAGCAAGAGAACGTCAGAAAAACATCCACTTCTGTGTCACTGACTACACTAAAGCCTCTTACTGTGTGGATCACAACAAATTTTGGAAAATTCTTAAAGAGATGGGAATACCAGACCACCTTACCTGCTTCCCGAGAAACCTGTATGCAGGTCAAGAAGCAACAGTTAGAAACAAACATGGAACAATGGACTGGGGACTGACCAGGGCCTGCTGTGTGACCTGAAGGAGATCATGGGGTGAGTGGAGGTGCCCCCTGCTGCTGTGTGTATGAGGCCTCACAGGAGGGGAGTGTGATCTGAGGGAAAGTGTCGGAAAGCTCCTGTGTTGGTCTCTGTACCGGAATTGACTGTCCTGAGTCCTTCCTGAGACAGTGGGCACAGGGGACTCTCTGTTCCTCATGGTGAGGGCTCCCCTGAGTATGTGGTTGGGGCTCAGGAAGGGGGCATGTTGACCCTAAGCATTAAAAAGCTTGTTTTCTACTTTCATGATAGAACTATGAAGACTCATGGACGAACAAGCCCAGAAGAGGAAAGAACAGGAGTCAGGCATGGCTCTTTCTTGGGTAAAGTCATATTCTCAGTGGATTCTCAGGCTGCCTTCCTGAAATGCCCTTCTCTGGACTCCCTAATCATGTCTGACTCTGGAGTGTCCTGTCTGACCTGTACATGCACACTCACCCCCGGCTTTCCCTTAGGGCCTTTGGTCTCCACTGAGGTCCCACCTCCCCATGACCTGTGACCTGGCCCTTTTGAGGAGGCTCCCCTGGGCACCATCCTGGGCAGGGCTGCTCACCCATGGGTCTTGGTGCTGTTGGGCAGCAGGGACTGTCTAGGTCCCATCTGGATGCACTGTCTGCTCTCTGTCAACCAGGGTAAAGACACTGTACATGGACCTCAGGTATTAACATGTTCAGTACACGGTAGAATCTGCAAAAGAGGCCAATGAGGGGAAATCAGTTCTGACTTTTTATAGACCATTTAAAACTAAATGAGCACCCCCTTGAATACTGAAGTATTTGGGAATGGAACGGAACGTTCAGAAAGAGATGTCAGGGCTAGGGAATGTTTTGTTACACCATCTAATTTAAACTGTAAAATCAGGTTTACTAATTTTTTTTTTCTTTCTTTTTTGACCACATGATGCAGCTTCCAGAGTCTTAGTTCGTTGAGTAGGGATCGAACCTGAATCCCTGCAGTGGAAGTGAGGGATCTTAACCACTGGACCATGAGGGTGTTCTCCAAGTTTACTGATCTTGATGAAAGGTTGCTGCTTGAACGAAAGGACACCGGGATTCTTGACCTCCAGAGGAGAAGAATTCAATCCGGGGCCAGAGACAAGGCTTGATCTCTCAAAACTTTCGTTCAATAAAGTTTAATTATTAAAGTATAAAGGAGATAGAGCAATCTTCCGACATAGGCATCAGAAGGGGGCAGAAAGAGTACCCGCCTCCTAATCTTCAGCTGGATGTTATATAGTCACTAGCAGTCTGTTAATGAAAGAAAGGAATGTCTTAAAACTCAGAATGGCACCAGACCCCTCATTCATAAGATGCATTTTGGGATAATCTTGGCACCAGATGACTCGTCCCGGGCCATAAAGGATTGACTTGAATCTTGTAGAAGGGTAGATTACCATACAAATAGCTTTGTTTACATAGATTAGGGGAACAATATCTGAGTGTAGCATACAGGTTTGTCAAGTAGTTTCTGAGCCATTTAAATGGAGTCTGGGCAAATACATAGTACATTAACATAGCTTAAGACAAACATTTCCATAAGAAAAATGCATTGGTTAACTCAGAGTTTGAGAATAGTTAGCTTTAGGTGACGTCAGGTGTCATTATGGCAACACAGTATTTTAAGAGAATCCGCCTTTTAAATTTGTATAGAGAAGGGAAAAAAAATCCCTAATTTGTTTCCTCTTGGGGCTTAAGAGAGATAAAAATACCTGACACTTGCAGCCTATTTCCTCCATTTGGAGACCCCTGGTCTTCCTGCCTGTTACCCTCTCATTGATTCAGTATTTTCTTAATGAAATAAAATAATAAATTTTGGATTTTAGTACAAGCCTAAAATTAAGGATAAAAATCACATCATTATTTTTAAAATGTATTTATTTCCTGTACTGTATCTTCGTTGCTTCAGTGTCTTTTCCTTGGTTCTGGCGAGTGGTGACCACTCTCTAGTTGCAGTGTGAAAGCTTCTCATTGCAGTGGCTTCTCTCTTCGTGAAGCACAGGGTCTCGAGGGCGCTGGCTTCAGTAGTTTCACCTCCTGGGCTCTAGAGCTCTGGCTCAGGAATTGAGACTCACAGGCTTAGTTGCCCCTCAGCATGTGGGATCTCAGACCAGGCAACAACTTATATCTCTTGCATTGTCCAATGGATTCTTTACCACTTACCCGCAGGGAGTCCCACATATTTTTAAATACAGGCATTTTTATAAAGATTAGAAGAAATCTTCTGTATGTTATTTTCTGCTTGTATTACTTTTATTTTTTTGAACTAGAATAAGATAATGTTGAGGACTTCCCTGGTGGTACAGTGGCTAAGAATGTGCCTGCCAGTGTAGGGTGCATGGGTTCCATCCCAGGTCCAGGAAGATGCCTCAGAGCAGCTAAGCCCATGGGCCACAACTACTGAGCCTGTGCTCTAGAGCCCGGGAGCCATAACTACAGAAGCCCGCACTCTCTAGAGCCTGTGCTCAAAAACAAGAGAAGCCACTGCAGTGAGAAGCCCATGCACTGCAGCTGCAACTAGAGAAAGCCCACTCACAGCAACGAAGACCCAACATAAGCAAACTTGTTGACAAATCTACTGAATGAAGAAGTAAAATGAAAGCATAGAATGGGAATGACTCCAACATTCTTGCCTGGAGAATTCCATGGATGGAGGAGGTGGTGGGCTGCCGTCAGCGGGGTTGCAAAGAGTCTGGCATGAGAAGCAGATAAACAACAACTTCCACACACAGCAGATTGAGCTCTGAAAAACAAATCTAAGCGTCTAACTTTCTTCTTGCAGATTCTTCACTGACTTCCAGTAGCTTTTGGAATAAGTCCTCAATCCATAGATCTTGCATAAATTAGCCTCTGGTTGGCATCACCCCATTTACATTTCCTGTGTCCCCATCACAGTGGCTGACTTTCTGTTCAGTAACTATCTTCCTGCCTCAGAGCTGGCACTCAGGCTGTTCTCTCTGCTTGCAACAGTCTTCCATTTCCCACTTTGCCAATCCTAAGTGTTTCTTGCTCACAGAGGCCTTGACTGATTTCTCAGTGTAGGTTAAGACTTTCTATTTAATCTTGTCTTAGCACCGGGCCTGTGTCAGAGTGCTTATTTCGATAGTAGTGTTAAAATTGTGGATGAAATTGGCTGGCTGGCCGCTAGAGTGTAAGTTCCATCATGTTCACTGCTGTATTTCAAGTTTGATGCGCAAAGCTGACGCTAAATGAATTTTGATATAATGAAAGAAAAAAAATAAAGACAACTCCTCTTGTTTCAAGCAATTGTGTGTTTACACATGCATGGATGAATGCATGGATATGTAGCTCCATGGTTTTATTACAAAAACATCATCTCATAAATAATGGTGTATGCTTTATAGCAGTTTCAGTTGTTATCTTAAGTGTATTTCATGGCCTTAAGTTTTTTCTGCATCATCACATGAATGATGTAAATTGTAGCAAGATTATAAACATTGTGTGGGTTGGGATGGGAGAGTGTGTGACCCTGTATCATGACCATTTATGCTGTTCTGTTGTATTTCAGCTTCCTTGAACTTGTTTCAGATATTGTCAAGGAATGCTCTCTGAATGCTCTTTCCTTCTCTGGTAGTTAACTAGTTGATTCTTTAGGTTCAGTTGTCACTCGCAACCACCTGAGATCAGGTGCTGTTGCCTCATCTCTTAACTGTTTGATCTGAGCGATTTCCTTTTTTTTTTTTTTTTTTTTTTTGAGCGATTTCTTAGAGTGACTGAATTTACTCTTGCCAGAGTAAGTAGGGAGCACGAGCACTGCAACTGCAGCGTAGCCCCTACTTGCTGAACTTGGAGAGATGACCAAGCAGCAGTGAACACTCCCCTGAGCCAAAAGAAATGAGTACACCAATGTATTAAGAATAACAGATACATTTATTAAGGAAAAGAGAGGTTGTTTTCTGGAAGAAGCCACAATATGTGGCATTACTTGTGAGTAGGAATTTCTATTTCTGATCTGAACATTATCTCCATTCTTGTGGCACAAGGAGGAAGACCCCTGGATTGTGGAGAATGAGGTGCTAATAGCAAAAATCCAGATGAGTGGGAAAGTATCAACAGTGTGATCACAGGTCAACTGTCACAAGGACAGAGAGGAAGCCACACCATTCATGGGGTTTGGGAAACTCTCTAAGGGGAAGAGTTCTGTGACAAAACAGATGTTTAATGTTTGTGAGTCTCACAGGAGGTTTTTCTTCTCCCTAATTGATGGCTCTGTTTTTTGACATGTGAATATTCCTCCAGTGGAGCTGTAGTGCCCACAGAGATGAAGGTGAGGTCTTTGTATTTGGCCTGTACTGGGTCTTTTGTGCTGTGTGGACTTCTGTCTGTTGGAGACGAGTGAGGGATACTCTGTAGTTGTGGGGAGCACGGTTTCTGAATGTGGTGGTTTCTTTAGTTGTGAAGCATGGGCCCTGGGCACACGGGTGTGAGTAGTTTTGCCATATAAGCTCACTATCTGTAGTTCATCAACTTATTCTCCGTGACATGTGAGATCTTCCCAGAGCAAGAATTGAACCCATGCCTCCCACATTACTAAGCAGATTCTTACCATGGAGCCACCAGGGTGTTAGGGAAATTAAAGAAATAGTCTTGTTTAGGCTTCAAGACAAAGCAGTGTGTTCCTCTGACCTTGCTTCTAACCTGCATGCAAACTGCCCTGAGTGTGAATGTCCTGACTGTCTCCTGTGAGTGCAAGGCTTGCAGCAGCATAGATAAGATAGGGCACAAATCTTGAGATTGTTCAGCCTTTGCAGGGGCCCTTACCAACCAAGCCCCAGAATTAGTGCCATCCAAGTTGGCTCCTGGATCCTCCTCTCTGCCTACCGTGAGGTAAATAAAGGTAACTTAAAACTGTCTAAAGGGAAGTTCTAACTGGAGGAAGAATTACGCGATTTGTGAGGATGATTATCCATATTACAATGTCACATTATATTTTGGCTGATCAAATCTTCACTTTTTAAGTTGACTCTCTTTATCCAGCCCACAGCTCCAATAGTGTCCCCCACTGCCCTTTCTCTCTCCATTCTCTGTCCTGCTGTGGCCTTTCACCCCTCCCAACCCCTCCTCCTCCCTCTCCATCAGCTAGTCCCCTTCTAAAGGCCCCTGTCTCTCTGGGGGAGGGGGAGCCCAGGTTTCCCCACTCTTGCAAATTTGTTTACCCCTTTAGAGTCTTTTGATCAAAGACCCCCATCTCCCTGGAGAGTCGTTCCAAGATTTTTATCAGTCCTTCTGGCCCTGTTATCACAGTCAATTTGAGCACTATTTGATCTGTATTTTAGCCATAAAGGTAGGACTATAGAAAGGAAAGATAACTTGTTTGATACAGGATGGCCATGATATTGTTTAGACTCTGGAGAAAACTGGTTAAGATGAATTTTTATTTTTCTTTGAAGTGCAAAACCGTTTCTTTTTACATGTAGAATTAAAAACAGCAAGCTTGTTAAAAAGGCCTACCCCCCCCCACCCCCGCCCCCGAAAGCTTAAAGTTGACCTTTGCCAGGGCTTCCCAGATAGCTCTAGTGGCAAAGAACCTGCCAGCCCTTGGGGGAGACACAGGAGACGTGGTTTGATCCCTGGGTAGGGAAGATCCCCTGGAGGAGTGAATGGAACCCACTCCAGTATTCTTGCCTGGAGAGTCCCATCATGGACAGAGGAGCCTGGTGGGCTAGACTCCATGGGGTTGCAGGGAGTTGGACAGGACTGAAGCGACCCTTCATAGCATGCAACCTTTGGTATGTCCTTGAAATACGTAACCCAGTTTTCCAGAGATTTCAATCTTGGGCAAATTAGAATTTTGAACCACGGGGCGGGGGGTGGGATGAAAAGGGTGAAAGAGACATTTTAAATCTCAAGCAGGAATGCATGAGAGCTCTCATGTCTGTCAATTTGCACTTATGTTTGTCTCAGTTTGTGTCTTTGTTTTTGGAGAATATTGCTGAGGTTAATTTGTAAATGAGCTTTAATTCAATTGTTTGTTAAAAGAAAAAGTAAAGCATTTGAAAATCAAACTATTGCAAGAGAAATTAACCTAAATGAATTTCAGGTTCATGTGAGCTGGGAAATATTCAATATTAAATATCTAGTATTAATGTTTGTTTGCTAACCTATTTAAGACATGTCTTGAGTCTTCAACATTGTCTAATACTTTTATTGTACC